TGTTGTATTATTTATATTTATAGGTCTTGATACCATCAGATACATTACCTATATGATAACGAGGTTCAATCTTTCACTATTCCAGAGCTTATATAATTATCTATTTTATTTGTTACAAGTGCTGCATTCTAAAACTCTTTTACAACATTTACTTGCCTAATACATAGGTATTCTATGCATATATGTTCTAGCGGATAACTAGATATATTGTAAATATAGCCTTAATGCACTTTACTAAGTTTTGTGTACTTTAGAATACTTAATACACCTTAAAAATATGGACACTTTATAATGTTATGCACTTTACAAAACAGTGCACTTTAATAAAAGTATGCACTTTTTGGCTTTTTAAAGAATATATTAGGTGCACTTTAAGAAAAAGCTTAAGGTACTTTAAATGAATATATAATTCATTATAAAGTGCACCAAATGTACTTTTTCATTATATGTAGTTATGGGCTAACTAATCACTTGGCCAACACAATAGATCTTTTTTGTATCACTTGTTTTTATAATAGCTAATTCATCACTCTTCACATGCTTTGGGCTCTAGTATTTCACAAGGGTCACTAAGTAAAATATTATAGATGCAGTAACCACAGAGATGATTGTCACGCTGCCATGACTACACCGGTACGTGAGTCATCACATGACTGTCGCAACATCCCGGAGGTTGCGTGGCCACACGAGAGCACACGCTTTTTGCACACAGAGATGCCGGGAGCAACACTATTCACCTGGGGTAAGTCACTTGTTCTAATTATTATTGCTATATATTCTGCCAATATTTTATTTGAATTGTATGACTTGATCCTGAGGAATGTCCCTGAGTGGACTGAAACGTCGATCTGTGGATTTACATATTTGAATAAAGGAACTCTTTCTATTGAAGACCGTGAGTGCAGCCAATTTTTATGTTTTTTCTTGGATACAAAAGGCCAAGGTTAGGCACCTGGCACTTGAAACAATATTTTAGCCTGAGTGCAAGGATAATCTGTTTTTTGTTTATATATATATATATATATATATATATATATATATATATATATTTCCCTCTTCCCCTAGGAATCCATGATTAAACACTCCCCAGGAGAGATGTCTTTCTTGTTATAGGTCAATAGGACCGTGTTTTTTTTAATGCATATGCCTCACTAGCAAACGATTAAAAAAAGAAGGGTTTCTATCTTAGTTACCAAAAGCCTTATCAGTGAAAGTCTTATTCCTAGAAAATGATCCAGAGGCTAGATCTTAGATAATGATATGCAGAATAAACCAAAAACAATGACCTTGATAAATGTGTATGCCCCTGCCAGAGAGCAGATAAACACCTTGATTATAATTATAGATTAATAATTATCTGGGCTGGGGATTTTTAACATGGTAATAGAACCCAGCTTGAACAAAATGTTATCTAGGGTATCTGTCCTCTCTCAAGAAGTGATTAGACAAGCACAAAATGTTAAGAGGGTTATTAAGAAAAATGGCCATCCAGATAAAAGAGATTTCACCCACTGGTAAAGAGTATATAACTAGTAGAGATGTCGCGAACCGTCCGCGAACTTCTCGCGAACGGTTCGCCGCGGTTCACCACGAACCGTTCGCGGCAAACTCTGGTCAGCTGACACATCCCGGCCAATCTCCAGCAGACCCTTCCTCCCAGACCTTCCTACTTCCTGGACAGCATCCATGTTGAAGGCAGCTTCAACATAGATGCTGTCCAGGAGGTGGGAGGGTCTGGGAGGGAGGGTCTGCCGGAGATTGGCAGGGATGTGTCAGCTGACCGGAGTTCGCTGCGAACGGTTTGTGGCGAACCGTGGCGAACCGTTCGCGAGAAGTTCGCGGACGGTTCGCGACATCTCTAATAACTATTACTCCCAAATAATCAGGTTTTGTGCAAAACAATTCTCTTACATAAGATTAACAAGATTGGCATTATTGAAGTAACCTGGTCGGATCATAATGCTATTTTCTGGAATATAAACGATAGGATGGAAGAGAGGCCGCATACACCGTAGAGGCTCAATAATACTCTGTTGAAATAAAAAAAATTGAGTTGAGCGAACCCGAACTGCAAAGTTCGGTTTCGGACCAAACATTACGGTTTTTGGACCCAGGACCCGAACAGGGACATTTCAGTGTATGTTCGGGTTGGAGTTCGGTGTTCAGCGATTTAATGGCGCGTTTTGAAAGGCTGCAGGGCAGCCAATCAACAAGCGTTTGACTCGTATGCCCTTAGAAGACATCACTGCCATGCCTACTAAGGGCATGGCTGTGATTGGGCAGTGCAGCATGTGACCCAGCCTCTATATATAAGCTGGAGTCACTTAGCGCCACATGTCACCTAAGCTCTAATTAGTGTAGGGAGAGGATGCTGCAGCTGTGCGGGACAGATAAGGAAAGAATTCTGGTGTTGAATCTGCAAACTACAGCGATTATTTTTGTGGGTGCTATACTACATTTTTGTACCCTATATATAATAGTACATTTGCGTACTGCATTTCTTGCAGTCTAATAAACCTGGGAGTCTAATAAAATGAGAGTCAAATAGAACCTTCAAATAGTGATGTGACATTGCAGTTTGACTAATTCACATTTTTTTGGTGCTAAAAAAGTACATTAGTGGTGTGCACTTAATATCTGAGAGTCAAATAGAACCGTCAAATACTGCTGTGACATTGCAGTTTGACTAATTCACATTTTTTTGGTGCTAAAAAGTATAATTTGTGGCGTGCACCTCATATCTGGTGTATGTGTACAACACTGGCTAGTTACCGCTTCTCAAGAAAGTCTTAAGACAAATAAATGTTGCCTATGGTGCATAGAATCATAGAATGTGACGGCAGATAAGAACCATTCGGCCCATCTAGTCTGCCCAATTTTCTAAATACTTTCATTAGTCCCTAGTCTTATCTTATAGTTAGGATAGCCTTATGCCTATCCCACGCATGCTTAAACTCCTTTACTGTGTTAACCTCAGCTGGAAGGCTATTCCATGCATCCTGATATTATTTTTAAACCTTTGTCCCTCTAATTTAAGACTATGTCCTCTTGTTGTGGTAGTTTTTTTTCTTTTAAATATAGTCTCCTCCTTTACTGTGTTGATTCCCTTTATGTATTTAAATGCTTCTATCATATCCCCCCTGTCTCGTCTTTCCTCCAAGCTATACATGTTAAGATCCTTAAACCTTTCCTGGTAAGTTTTATCCCGCAATCCATGAACCAGTTTAGTAGCCCTTCTCTGAACCCTCTCTAAGGTATCAATATCCTTCTGAAGATACGGTCTCCAGTACTGTGTACAATACTCCAAGTGAGGTCTCACCAGTGTTCTGTACAATGGCATGTGCACTTCCCTCTTTCTACTGCTAATACCTCTCCCTATACAACCAAGCATTCTACTAGCATTTCCTGCTGCTCTATTACATTGTCTGCCTACCTTTAAGTCATCAGAAATAATCACCCCTAAATCCCTTTCCTCATATGTTGAGGTTAGGACTCTATCAAATATTCTGTACTGTGCCCTTGGGTTTTTACGTCCAAGATGCATTATCTTGCACTTATCCACATTAAATGTCAGTTGCCACAATTCTGACCATTTTTCTAGTTTACCTAAATCATTTGCCATTTGGAGTATCCCTCCTGGAACATCAACCCTGTTACATATCTTAGTATCATCAGCAAAAAGACATACCTTACCATCAAGACCTTCTGCAATATCACTAATAAAATTTTTAAAGAGAATGGGTCCAAGTACAGATCCGTGAAGTACCCCACTGGTGACAAGTCCAAGCTTCGAATATATTCCATTAACTACAACCCTCTGAGTGAAGGTAGTATAGAAGGCAAGACTTAGACAAATCATTCGGGTTACGTTTGCCTGTTGACATGTTAATAATCTTAGACCATTAAAATTCAATAATCAATGAAAAAACACACTGTCATACAAAAATATGTATTATAGACAAGTTAAAAACAAGACTACAAGTTATGCTATTACAAAATTAAACAAGTTTTAAACTATGTATGGGCCAACCAGTGGCTGTAAAAGCAAAGGTTTACTGGTTACATTCATGACTACACACTCTAGTGAACAGGACCTTCATGTAGTGTGTTCTTTTTTTTTAATCATACAGCATCCTTTCATGTGCAGACCAGCAAGCAGGGCAGGGTTGAGGAGTGGGTGGAAGATGATGTGGAGGATGATGAGGTCCTAGACCCCACATGGAATAAAGGTCATGCGAGTGACGTGTGCAGTTTGGAGGAAGAGGCGGTGGTCGCACAGAGGCACCAGCACAGCATAAGTGGGAGCAGGGTGCAAAAGCGGATCGGCCGTCCCCTAGCGCTCGTTGGCATGTATTAGCTCTAGAAATACCACAATTATCCAAGTAACAGATGGAGCGAACAAAGGAACCATAACTGATTTAATGAGCCATTCACAGTTTTGAAGTCAGGGCAGCAGTCCGGTGACCGCGACCCAGACACTGTCTGGTGGCAGTCGGACGACCAGGACCCAGTATGCCTGATGTTGAAGTTAGGAGTCACAGTGTGGAATGGATTAGCAGAGTCTGGTGCAGGGTAACCGCATGCCCCCTGGTGTTGAGCACTAGCGTTTGTGCGGCCACATACCAGGACCCTGATGCAACTTCATTATAAAGAGTATTGTATACCAGAAGCCATCACCAGACTGATCCGCAACTTGGAACAGGATGTGACATTCACTGTAGCGGCTGTGCACGCTTTCGGCGTTCTCACCCTGCTGCTGCTTGCCTGTTTGCGCTGCAGTGTAATTCGGCCTTCATGCTCATCGCCTCATATGTGATGTGCCTACAAGGTGAAACTCCACCTTGCACATGCTGGAGAAACTGTGCAAGCAGCAGCAGGCGATAGTGGAGTTTCAGCTGCAGCACGCACGGGTTGGTCCCTCCAATTGATCCTAGTTAAACGATCTAAAGTGGACTCATTACAATTACAGGGTGCTCGAAAGAGTCCTGTATTGTTATTTGTCGTCACTACCTCCCCGCGTCGGGAATGGGTAATTTGCGCGCCTGCTGCCTTCCTTGGATGTGGTAGCCGTTTCTTAGGCTCCCTCCCGGAATCGAACCCTGATTCCCCGTTACCTGTGGTCACCATGGTAGGCAACACATGGCGGTGGGCACCTGGTCGCAGGGCTGCAACCCCTGCAACCGCGGTATGTATGCCAGTGCATGCAGATGCACACACACTTAAAGGACCACTACAGACACCCAGATCACATCAGCTCAATGAAGTTGTCTGTGTGTCAGGTCCCTCTAGTTTTAACCCTGCAGCTGAAAACATAGCAGTTTCAGAGAAGACTGCTATGTTTCACTGAGGGTTAATCCAGCCTCTAGTGGCTGTCTCACTGACAGCCGCTAGAGGAGCACACTGAATGTCCATAGGAAAACATTGAGTAATGCTTTCCTATGGGTGGTTTGAATGCGTGCGCGGTCGCATTCGGAGCTGAGAGGCTGAGGGATCCCAAGGTAAGTAAGCAAGGTAAGTGCTGAAGACACACACACTCTCACTTACAGACGCATACACACTAGCTAACAGACACACACATTTACTGACAGAGACACACTCAGCGACAGACATACATACTCACAAAACATACACTCTCATTGACAAACACAAACTCACTAACAGACATCAAACAGACTCACTAACACACACACACACACACACACTCAGTAAGACACACACAGTAACACACTCACTGACACTCACTAGCAGACACACACACTCACACTCACTCTAACACTCACACTCACTCTAACACTCTAACACTCACACTAACACTCACTCTCACTCTAACTCTCACTCTAACACTCACTCTAACACTCACACACACTAACACTCACACACACTCTAACACTCACACTAACACTAACTCTCACTCTAACACTCACTCTCACTCTAACACTCACTCTCACTCTAACACTCACACATGTTTGTTTTTCTAAAAAACTTAATCCCCCCAGCCTCTTTACCTTTTGGAGTGGTGGGGGGATTTCCTGGGGTCCAGTGGTGCTGCTGGGCTGGCGGGTGGCCGGTCGGGCAGGCGGGCGCGCGAGGGAGAACTCAGTGCTTCCTCTTTAGCTCCCTCGAACGCCGCGTAGGGATGCCGGAAGATGACGTCATCTTCCGGCTCCGGTATCAGTGCTGAGTGCTCCCTCGCGCGCGCGCCTGCCCGACCGGCCACCTGCCTGCTGGGTGTCAGCAGGGCCAGCCTCGGGGGGGCCCTGGGGTGGTCGGCTACTGGGCCCCCCAGGGGAAGAGGCTGGCCCAGTGGGTACACACCGGTTCGCAGGGGCGGCCGGGTCCCCTGGTGGGCCGGGCCCGGTCGCAGCCGCGACCCCTGCGACTCTGGTATGTAGGCCACTGTCAGCACGCCACAACAACCAGCACTACCAGCTGATATGTAACATCTTAGCAGGAGGGAGCATTTCAGCAACATGGTGGAACAGTACGTGTGCACATGCCTACACGTCCTGACTGATGGGTGTGCCCCATTCAACTTCTGGGTCTCCAAATTGGGCACATGGCCTGAGCTTGCCCTTTATGCCTTGGAGGTGATGGTCTGCCCTGCAGTCAGTGTATTGTCTGAATGTGTGTTTAGCATGGCAGGGGGCGTTATCACAGACAAGCCCAACCGCCTGTCCACGGCCAACATGGACAAGCTCACATTTATTAAAATGAACCAGGCATGGATCCTACCAGACTTGTCTGTACCTTGTGCAGAATAGACATTTATACCGGCCTCACCCAGCCATTGTTATACTCAAGTGCACTTATTATTTGTTTTCTTTTTTTATATGTCCCAATATTTTGGGGGCTACCCCAATTAAAAAAAACAAAAAAAAAAACAGTGTTGGCTACCTCCTCCTCCACCGCCGCTTCCACCTATACCACCACAGTCACCGCCTCCTCAACCTCCTACTCCACATTTACCTCCTCCTCCTAGAGCAGGGTGCAAAAGCAGAGCAGCCACCCCCTAGACAGTATGCCTGCTACTGCCCACCGCACCCAGGGACCAAGCACACCAAAGCCAGCTCCGCTCATATGGCTCAGCTGTATTTTTTATTTTTATGTTATTTTAAGTGATTTCCCTATCCACATTTGTTTGCAGGGTACTTGTCCTACTCTTACCCCCATTTCACTTCCTTTTGCAGCCCTCTAGCCCTTTCCAGGACTTTTTCTAGAGGCATTTTAGTGACCAAAAGTTCGGGTCCCCATTGACTTCAATTGGGTTCGGGTTCGGGGTCAAGTTCAAGCCCGAACTCGAACTTTTTGACAAAGTTCGGCCGAATTTGGCAAATCCGAACATCCAGGTGACCGCTCAACTCTACTAGACACCCTTAAATCCATTATCAAGAAATGGAAAGACTATAGCACAACTGTCAGTCTGTTTAGAGAAGACAATACACAAAAACTAAATGACCAGGTCGACAAGGCATTTTAAATCACAGATATGACACAGAAAAAAATGTCAAGTATTTTTCAGACAATTGTGGAAAACTATTTAAAAACCACACTATGTTACTCCTTTCATTTTATTTAATAACCTACACCTGCTGGCTGGAAGGGTACACTAGGTCTTCCTCCATTTATTTTAAATGCCCCCACTTACGAGGCACAGATCGAGGCACAGGGGGACCCTATGTCCCTCCTTATTAATTTATTATGTGCCCCACTTTGGGGCATGGGGGACCTGTGCCAGTTCCACCTTAATTATAATAGCGACTTGGAATATATAGCTGCCCAGTTGCTAGCCTTTTTCATAACCGTGAGCAGCCACTGGCTGCTTGCTGTTTAATAAACATGCACTTACTCATGACACAGCGGGTAAGTGCAGGACGGAGGATGTAACCTCCCTTATTTACTAATACTAAGTATTTTTTACTTAGTATTAGTAACGGTGTCCGAAAGACCAAAATTACGAAAAGGAAGGGCTTTTAGTAATTTTGGTCTTTCAGTTTAGTAGATAGCTAATCCTAATCCTAATCCTTTTTGTGGGATTGCTATAAAGATACCAAAACCTAATCTAAAAACCTAAATAGCTGCCTAATTTGGTAGCCTTAAATATGGCAGACCCACAAGGGTATCAATTAAGGGAGTTATCTACAAAAATGCTACAAGATGCAGCTGCGGTCCATAGCACTGATCGGAATTTAATTTGTCCAAATGACATTCCAAAATGAAAATAATGGCTGGAAAGTGGGATTTTTTTTTATTTTTTTACAGATATTGGATGTATTGGGCTCTCCCTCACTATTATTTGGGAATTCTTTTATTGTGTAGGGGATGCTAGAGGCTTGTTCGTGAAGTGAATAACATTGATTATATTGTTACATTTGCAAATGCCAAGGTGTGAGATATATTAGGCAGCAAATTAACAGTCAGTTCTAGAAATTCATGTGTTTGAAAGCAGGAAAATTGGGAAAGTGAGAAGAACTGAGTGACTATGAAAAGTGCAAAATAGTTATGGCTAGATGAATGAGTTAGAGCATCTTTAAAATGAGAAATCTTGTGGGGTGTGACCACTATGCAGGAGTTAGTACTTATCAATAGTGGTGCAAGGAAGGGCAATTGGTAAATGAACTCTCAGGGCTCATTGATTGATGTGTGGAGTGAGGGGTAGCCAGTTTGGTCTCATCAGACAGAAGAACTACTGTAGCACAAATTGTTGAAAAATGTAATTATAACCATGATAGAAAGGTGTCAAAACACACAGTGCATCGCAGTTTGCTGTGTATGGGACTGGGTAGACGCAGACCTTCAGAGTGCTTATGATGACCCCTGTCCACCGTCAGTGGGTATAATATTGAGGCTAATCAGTGTACACAATCCAGCACACTTATCAAACCCCAGCTTACCTTTGTAATGCAGAGAGCCATAAGAAAATGGATTTACCAAGTGAGTGAATTAATCTCAAAAAGGCAGACATTTTGTTGCTAGGATAGGACCTACCAAAAACGGGGTACATTGGCATTATGGCAGGCTTATGCAATGTATAATCATACTGTAACTAAACCCCTATTATTTTGCCTAGGTCAAGGGTTTAAAAAAAAAAAACTATTACATTTTGTGATCTTTGAAGCTGGTGGTTAGTGAGTGCTCTGAATTCTGTATATTTTTTCAATACATATACCTGTGAATGCTGTGCCTATAGGCACTTGAGATGCAGATCTGGTCTTGGGCTTTCAATTTACACAGTCTGTATAATATGTTTAGAAATGTCTCAAGAGACCACTGCTGGCACTACTGGAACATTAAAATATACCAGAAGCAAATTTAGGAATTATGTTTGTTAGCCGTCAAACACAAGTGATAAAAAGAACATATTTTAAATACGAAAAACAAACAAAAGCGGGCTGATTTTGCATTCAAGCTATGCCAAGACTGCTTGTTAGATGGTGGTCTGCTAGTAAAATACTCAATATGGTTAAAGAAGCTGACAGAACAGATTCCTGTATTAACATCAATGACAGTATTTTATGAGGTTTGATAAGAGCATTTTAATTGCTTTGTAATGTAGCCAGTGCTGGGTGCTGCCAAAACAAGAGGATTCCCAAGGAAAATATGAACGTTCCTCAGAAGCTAGCCGGTTAGGCTAAAATGTTTTTGATATGGGTTAATGACCACCTTCCCCCTTTATATCCTGTGTCACACCACACAATAAGTGAGTACTGTCAGGATGCTCTACTATAACAGGCTGGCCTTTGATCCTGATTTGTATCTTCTTCTTGTTTCCCCCCCCTATATCCTGTTAACACCTTGTCTTTATGATAGTTGGAAAGTGTTTGTTTAATCAAGTAACATCTTTTGACCAGCTAATGCCAGATGCACTTTAAGTTCTTTGAAGATGCATTTTACTGGACATGACTGTATGTAAATTCTAATGTATTGTGTGAAGACAACCCCTTTTTGGATATGTACAGAATTGGATATAAGATCTGTGTCATTTCCCATTAAACTAGGAGTAGTATTCTGCCATACATTTGTATGGAAGAGTACTGCCCTCCGAGCTCGTATTTCTGCTGTGTCCATTCCTTGTCTTCATACCCGAGAGAAAACATTGCTGTCTGCTGAATTTAAACCACAACAATATGGTGTCAGAAGTGGAGAGAATCCAAATCGGGTAAGAACGTTTTCTGTTTTACTTTTGTGTTCTTTGCCCTGTTTGGATTCTTTGAACTATTTTTTTGTGGTTGCAGAAAAGTAGTGTTTTTCTTTTTGTTTTTTGTATTTCTTTTTGTTTTTGTTGTACTCTCAGAAGTGTAAAGTGTTTGAGTCCTCAAGTAGCTGTGTA